GATCAGCAGAGTATAGACGAGAGAGAGAATCAGGTTTGATGTGCTTGGAGCCGGGTCTGTAAGAAATAATGAGGTTGAACAGGGAGAAAAACTGACTGACGTGGGTTAGCCTGTTTGGCGGACTGGATGTAAGCTAGGTTCTTGTGATCAGTCCACACCAAGACTGGGTGTTCAGCCCCCTCGAGCCAGTTTGTCCACTCCTCCAATGCGAGTTTGATGGCCAGAAGTTCTCGGTCCCCAACATCGTAGTTTTGTTCAGCCGGTGAAAGTCTACGGGAGAAAAATGGACAGGGGTGAATCCTTTGATCAGAGTCGAGTTGTTGGGAAAACACAACTCCAACACCAGAGTCAGAGGCGTCCACTTCGAGGATAAATTGTTTGGCAGGATCTGGCTGGATTAACACAGGAGCTCTGGAAAACAATGTCTTTAATTTATCAAAAGCATCTTGTGCTTCTGGAGTACATTGGAAGGTTTTTTTGACAGATGTTAGAGTTGTGAGAGGTAGAGCTGTCTGACTATAATTCCTGATGAAACGACGGTAGAAGTAGGCAAAACCCAGGAATCTCTGCAGCTGTTTTCGGTTCTCAGGTGTCGGCCAGTCCAAAACTGCCTTTATCTTTTCTTCAGATGGCTTAACCTGCCCGCCCTCGAGCACAAACCCTAAAAAGGTGACAGAAGGTTAATGAAACTCGCATTTTTCAGCCTTTACAAAAAGTTTGTTCTCCAACAATCTTTGAAGGACCAGGCGGACATGTTTCTTATGTTCGGAATGGTTCTTGGAGTAGATTAAAATGTCGTCAATGTATACAAACACAAAAATATTCAGAAAGTCTCTGAGGACATCATTGACGAGCGCTTGAAAACATGCAGGAGCGTTAGTGAGACCAAAAGGCATAACCAGATATTCAAACTGGCCCAAAGGGGTTTTAAAAGCTGTCTTCCATTCGTCTCCCTCTCTTATCCTGAGAAGGTGATATGCGTTTCTTAGGTCGAGCTTGGTGAAGACAGTAGCCCCTTGTACTGGTTCAAAGGCTGATGCTAGTAACGGAAGTGGGTATTTATTTTTAACAGTTATTTGGTTAAGGCCTCTGTAGTCTATACAAGATCTTAAGGAACCATCTTTCTTGCCCACAAAAAAGAAACCAGCACCCAACGGAGAAGAGGATGGACGGATTATTCCAGCAGCTAGAGACTCATTTATGTAGTTTTCCATGGTTTCACGTTCTGGTTTGGAAATGTTATAAAGTCTGCTGCTGGGCAGGGGAGCTCCAGGTAATAGCTCAATCGCACAGTCATATGGTCTGTGAGGTGGAAGGGACGTAGCACTGACCTTACTGAAGACAGGAGCCAGATCATGATACTCTGAAGGGACAGAAGTAAGGTCAGGAGAGTCCATCTCCCCCCTACCTCTAGGAGACCCCACAGC